TGCATCCCAAGCCACCTCCACCCTACGCCGCCGGGCCGCCGTTCCGCCTTCATCCCGAGGAGCTCCTTGGTGAGCTCCTCCTCTCCCTCCTTGCCTCCCTCCTCTGTCTCCCGTGCGTGCTGCTGCACCGGTGGCCGCCGCCGGCGACCACCGGGCCGTGCGCCGCCGCCGTTAGGTCGGCTGGCCGGCTTGTCGCCGCCCCGCTCGCCTAGGCCGCCCGGATCCCCTTGCCGCGCCGCGCCGCCGCTTTCCCGCGTGCGTCGGTCGTCGCCGCAGGAGGCCGCGCCGCCGTGAGCCGTCGCTCGGCCGGGCCGGCCTGAGCTGTGCCCGTGCTCAGCCGCGCCACCCCGTGGCCGCCCGATCAGCTCGGGCTGATCTGGGCCGTCGGTTCCCGTGGACCGGCGGTGGACCACCCCGTGGTCCCGGTCCACGGTGGACCACTCCCTTGCCCGCTGTCGTGTGGGGCCCGCCTGTCGGCGCCGCTGCCCTTTGATGACGCCAGCAGGAGCCTTTTCCTTTGATAAAATAATTAACAATTGCATAATAATTCGTTAATAATTCTAGAAATTCATTTAAATGGCTCAAAACTTCTAAAATTCATATCTAATTCATTCGAACTCCGAATTGAGACATTCAACTTGCAAAATTCATCTAAAATTGAGCTCTACATGTTTGTTTACTTTTTATGTACTGTTTCCTTGGTTTTTATTAGAGTTTTTCCTCGTTTTGCGTGCCTGCGTGTAGAATCCGTCGTTTCGGAAGATCACGGTCGCAAGGATAAGAGTTCGGAAGATTGTTTGAAGAAGCAAGGCAAGTCACACATTCCCCTTGAGCATGTTGATCCCAATTTACAAATATTTTACTGTTTGCAAATAAATATGCATTTTTTGCTAATTACATGGGGTCAGGGTTTTACCTATCTGCTCGTTTGTGCCATATTTACTTGATATATGCCCTTTGTCAACATTGGGTAATAAATCGACTAGCTCATGTTACTTATGTGACCTAGCTAGAACTATATGCTTAGCCATGCTTAATTACCACTAGCTCAGTTGATGGGATAATTACCGTATTAGACCTTTTAGTATCAGAATGAGCTGCGTGCTCGAGATATCTGGCCATGCTTCATGGTCGTAATTATCCAACTAAAATGTGACTGAATGGTGGGTTGTGGGTGCATGGTTTTGCTGGTCGCACCCATGGCAGTTAAGGACCGGTTCGCGGGATGCCTTGGAAGAACTTATCGTACTTACCACAAGCCAGCGTGGGCAACGGCTGGGCTTGTAGTGTAGCTTTCCTCTAGTCGACGCATCCAGGCAAGGGTGGGCGTGATGGAGCGGCGCGGGCCCTACGACGGCCTCTGTCGCTTCCGGATTTACCTAGGCACGAGAGGGGTCTGCCCGTTGCCCGCTGGGGACGGGGGTGAAACCTGAGGTGTGGTGTGCTTGGCTAGAGGGGGTTATGTGAAGGGTCCTGTCACGGCCTCTTTCCGCTATGTCGTGGTGGCATATCGGCGCACGGAAACGTGTCGTGGGGCTGTGTCTTGTGGGTACAGTTGTACACCTCTGATCAGAGTAAAGTTATTCGAATAGCCGTGTCCGCGGTTATGGGCGGTCGACCAGATTCACACTGATTAGTCCCATCTTAATAAATCGACCCAATACACTGTAGTTCAGGTGGGTTGGTTGGGCCTGTTCAACGTGGTGTAGCGTTGATCAGTGGAGATTTAATGTTACTTTAATTACTCAACAGTTTTACTGTTTTGCTCAATAAAATGTTTTACAACCGCCTTTATGCAAATAGCCACAAACCATCCTTGTATCCCCTTGCACATCTGCATCGTTGGTGTGGCTTGCTGAGTACGGTGGTTGTACTCAGTCTTGCTTTTATTCCCCCATTTCAAAAGTGTAGTGCTTCTGAGCTGAAGATGGAGTTATAGGACCAAGGCTCATACCCCAGTTGAGTTCTGCCTGTGGAGTGGAGTTGAAGCCCCGCTAGGATCGCCTTTTTTTCCGCTGCTGTCGTTCTGTTTCGGTGTGAGGACTAAGTGCCTCTTCCATAAGTATTTTACGCTTTATTTACGTTTGGAACTGTATATTACTTATCGTTTTGTGTACCCTGGCTGGTCCTGGACAGGGATTTAATACGCAAAATAGTCTGAAAATTTGGGTTAAATTTCTGGGCGTGACAAAGTGGTATCAGAGCCAACTCGACTGTAGATTGAGCCAAATGGTCAAACCCTAAGGACAAGTTTTCTGAAAACCCTATTTGCAAATTGTCAAACGGTTTTTCAAAATTCTCCTCCCAGTCTCTCCAATTCTTTTAGTTGTCACACCTAGAGGATCAGCCGTCAGCTTCATGTCTGTTCGGAAGTCAAGTCAAGTCAAGCCTCAAGCTTCGTGCAAGGAGCGAGAAGATCAGTTCAAAGTCGTCGTTCCGCGATGATCAAGTGAAGTTTTCTCGGAGATGACCTAAACCCAATCCTTCCCAGGAGGGTAGTTTCGTTAGCTTCTAGATCGTGTGTTGTTTGCTTGTGTGTAGGGGTATGGTTTGCATCACTGGTGGGGATGCGACCATACTAGGTTGTTTGCTTAAACAACTTGAATCATAAAATCCATTCACAACAGATCAATAGGCAAGTGGTTTAGTACCTCATCTCTAGTAACCCCTCCCATTTCCCCCTCTCTCTGGTGCCTGCAGCAGATGGTCTGCATGAGGGACAATTTCATCGGATCAAGACCCCGTCAGTTTCATGGGGCAACTCAGTGCAATTCTAATAGTATTCCACGTCAGCCTCTTGAAGATCAGCCTCAACCCCAAGTCATGGCTAATCAAACTCAGACAGTGGAAGAGTTGTTACAACAGATATGACGTCGGTACCAAATATACCAGATGCAACAGATGCAACGACAATGTCAGGAGTCACGTCAATGTCACCCACCGCAGGTGCGAGATCAGATGCCAGCCCGGAACCCGAATCAGAGTCAGAGTCAGGAGTTCCCAATATCGGCATCGAAGACCCCTGTCAAAATGCTGTCCAGATCCCCGAAGATAACGACAGCCAAGTCAACGTCAGACCAAAGGAAAGTAAGTGCTACCTGTTATGACTGTGGTGAGCAAGGTCATTATGTAAGGAACTATCCATGGAAGGTGTTCGCCAGGTCACCTGAAAAAGACGAGAAGCAGTGCCCAGGGAGTAACCAAGCTCCAAGTCAGTCTACCGACAAGAAGGATGGTACTTTGCAGCCCAACTCTGGAGTGAACAGGACAGTGATATGGAAGATGGATAATGGCCGGACCATGATCATCACCGGTTCAGAATTTACTCCTGAAGACGCAGCAAGGATACCCAAGCGTCAGAGAGGAAGAAATACCTTCCGAGGAGCGCATCAGCTAACCCGTCATCTCATAAAGTACGGTCCGCCCAGACCCGAAGATGATGAATCAGGAGAACGGTTTTCTGCTGATGACGATGACGACAACGATGATGATAATGATGACAATGATGATGCGACCCTTGACAGTTTCAGGGAAAGAGAGTTGAAGTTCAAAGCATGTGCTAGATGTGGGATAGTCGGACACACTGCTAGTTTATGCTTCCCCACATGCCGCTGTGGTGAATATACCCATTACTCAGATGCATGCCCTTTAAGGAAGGTCACATGTTTCTTGTGTGAAGGAACAGATCATGTGCCTAAGGACTGTCAGTTGAACGCGGTCATAGCTAAGACCAAGAAAGAACAAGGGACAACCGTGCAACCCATTCGTCAACCAATGACAATCGACAACAGTGGTCACAATCCTTCTGCTCTTCCTCCAACTCCAGCTCCAGTGGAAGCCAACCATGGAAGAAGCAACGTCACCAAGGATGTTCATAAGTCTCTGCTTGTTCCCGTTTCAGCTGCCAAAGTGCATAATCAGGAGCCTGCACCCCGGGACCAAGCAAGTCGATTCTGTCGCAACTGTCGTAAGCCAGGACATCGTTTCAGTGATTGTCCTCTTCCAAGAGCAGCAAAGGCAGTTCGTCGTGATTCACAAGTTACCAGCACTGCCCATGACACCAATCGACACCTGAATGTGCAACCTCCGCCCCAACGGATTATCGTCAAGGGCACCGTCAAAGGTCGCATTGTTCCACCGGCAATCGTTTCAAGCCTACAGCACCAACGCCAGCAGGGTAAGCAATGCCAGGAGAACAACAGCTCGCTACAGCTACAAAGAGGCGGTACGCTCCTTCGTCAGCACCCGCGGCAAGTGTTGTCAGCACCAGGTCGCGCAACTGTTGTCAGATCTAGCAATGCACCTCGTATTGCTCCAATCTGGAGGCCCATCGACAAATCACCGCTCGGTAACCCCACGGGCAAGAAGATCCTACCCGTTACAGCTGACAAGACAGTTGCCCCTCCACCATCGAAGATCAACAAGCAGAGCAACGTTCCCGGTGAGACTTCTGGTAGTAGGAACTAAAGAAACAAGTCAGTCAGGTTTGAATAATGGAAGCAATAGCAGTTCTAGACAAGACTTCTACTTTTCAAGTAAGCAATAAGCAAGTCTATAGTGATCATAAAAAAATCCGCTTGATCCAATGGTCTAAACTAGTTGGAGTGACATTGCGACACCAGACTACAGGAAAATAATAATAACGACAGAAGGAGGATTTATTGGTATTTTTCTCTAGTTATAATCAAAACATCAAAGTGTAGTAAACAGTTTGGGGTTTGGCCAGTTGTATGCAACAGTGACACCTTGTATCTTCAGATCCTTGCAATTCTGGAGCATCTATGTTTATCGGAAATCAACACGCATAAAATCTAACACAGGTGTTAATTACAATAAAATTTGTTTCGGTACACCGCAAGCATCACAGAATCTATTGCTGTCACTTTTCCTTTTGGAAAGAAAGAAAGATTCTGCACAGACGTGGATTCTGAAAGCTGAAAATGAAGCAATTTCTCATCCACAACTACAGAAGACTCGAGGACACGGCAATTGAAGAATCTGCTTTGGCAGCCTATATAAACCCAATGCTGGTGTGGTGAAGCCAGGAGTCAAAAGAAGCAACAACTGCAGAAGTAGAGGGTGTTCTAACACAAAGCGGAACTTCTCCCGATTACAAGGTTGGCAACAGAATAACAGACATCAGCCAAAAAATGGTTGAAGTAAGTGCTGAATGATTTTGAATACTGACAAACTTTGATTTGTAGATAGTCGATATGCCGTCTTTACACACCTAGGCCCTGTCTCATCATAATATTCATATCTAAACCGAGCATTAAAACTGTAGTTTCCGTATCATTCTGCCCTATGTGTCGTTTTGACTGTAGTTATCCATGTTTGCTAAATGATAATGATAAATACAAAATTGACTAAAGCATGCTTACTTGTTTGTTATAAAGGAACTAAAGGAGTCTGTGAAAGAAGAGCAGGCTGAGAAAAAGGAGGAGGCAGCCAAGGAGAAGCCAGATGAACCACAAGAGATCGTACTGAAAGTCGACATGCACTGCGAAGGATGTGCAAAGAAGGTCGAGAAATCCCTCTTGAGATTTGAAGGTCAGAAAGCATTTCATACCGTCTCAAACTACGACTTCTGTCGTAGGTGCATATCGATCTTCCCTCCAACGCTCAAACATGGTATTCCTAACAATTTCCTATTGTTGCTGAAAAAAAATCACAATCAGGAGTCGAAAACGTCAAGGCTGACAGTCGATCGAAGACGGTTGTGGTGAAAAGCAGGGCCGCAGATCCCTCAAAGGTCTGCGAGAGGGTTCAGAGGAAGACAAAGAGAAGAGTTGAGCTGATTTTCCCTCTTCCTCCACCTCCAGAAGAGGAGAAGAAAGAGGAGGCTCCAGCACCACCTCCAGAAGAAAAGAAAGAGGAGGTACTAGTCACTTTCTGAAATGCACAACATAAAAACCATGTGATTCACCAATTGTCAACTTGAGCACTATACAAGAGAACATTCATTCAAAGAAAAGAAAGAACGAGGAAGAAGCAAGACACACCTTGCCGTGTTTACTGATCAAGACATCAAAGTAATACAAAATTTTCGGAGCCCTCGCAGTCTCAAATTTTCGTTGACATATCTTTCATCAAATTTTGCAGCCACCGAAGACAATAACTGTCATCTTGAAGGTCCAGATGCACTGCGACGCTTGTGCGCAGATTCTGCAAAAGCGTATAAGCAGGACAGAAGGTATAACGTACTTCTCTTTGACTCTTTGTAACCTCCTAACTCTTACAAGCCATAGACTATGTATGGTTTTCTTTGCAAGCAAAAGGCTTTGTCTCCAATAAATTAAAGTAGAATAGTCCAAAGTAGAATTAATTGGATATCATGTCTAGGAAGATTGCTCAGTTCATGCAACAATCTGTCACTCAGTGAAACAATGCATCTATCGTGCTAACAACTAACAAGGCCTAAGAGCAAACGGTACTTTGCAACTAAAACAGGTGTAGAATCAGCTACAGAATAACCAAAAAATTTCGTCCAAGCAGGTGTAGAATCGGTCGAGACTGATCTCCTCAACGGCCTAGTGGTCGTCAAAGGGGTGATGGATCCGGCTGTGCTCATCGAAAGCATCCAGCGGAAGACGCGGAGGCCGGCAGTCATCGTCGAAGAGGTGAAGCCGCGGGAGGAGGAGAAGAAGGCAGAGGAGGAAGAGAAGAAGCCAGATGAGGATAAGGCCGACGGCATCGAAGAGATCAAGAAGTATGACTTCTGGCCGCCCGTCCAGTACTATGTCGAGTACGTCTACCCATACCCGCTACCGCCGCCACCGACGGCACTGGTGTCCGAGGAGTTCAGTGACGAGAACCCGAACGCTTGCACCGTCGCGTGATACCATCTGAAGCTGTTCTTTTGCTTAGACGGTGGTTTCTATGCTAGAAATGCATGCTGATATGGTAATAAAATGAGTGGTTTTGAGAACTTGTACAAGATTGTGTTATTAAGTATCATGAAAAGTGAGCTCGCATTGCTCAATTGACTAGCTCTCCTATGGTACAACCTATTTACCCGGGTTTAGATTTGACACTTGTGCTCGTATTTCTCATTAGAAATATGGTCATAATTTGGTATATTTTAATATAGAAAAAAAAGATAATACACATGACATGTGTACCGTGAATTGATCTTGTGATAGTGCTAAGCATGAACATGTTAATAACTAAATTAGCATCATCAAGAAACATGTTTAACACTACAGTGATGAAGGTAACATTCCCGGAGAACACTTCGGTACTAGATAAGACCGTGTTGGTGTTGATGCCTCCGTTGGTGTTGTCGTTCTTGTTGAAAATATGGTCATAATTCGGCATATTTTAATCTAGAATAACAAGATAATAAACATGACATTCGTAATGGAATTTGATCTAGTGACATTGCTAGATGTAAGCAACATGAGCATGCTTTTTATAATATAAGCATCAACATTCACATGATAATGCAATGCTGACATTGCGATGAACATTAACAATAAAACATCTAGTAGAATTGAGAGAATAGAAGTATACCCCGAGAATGGTCCTCCGCTGGATGGTCAGGCAGTATTGCCTCCGTTGGTGTTGATGTTCCTGGATCCGTCTCCTCCAGTAGCACCACCGCTCCCTGCACCTAAGCCACCTCCAGCAGCAGCAGCAGTAGTAGTAGACATGTTGACGTAGACGAAGTAGAGCCTGACGTAGCTGGGGCAAAACAGTCGTGCCCGAGAGCGCTTCTTAAAAACTTGATCGCACGCTTAGAAACTTGATCACCCGCCTACGCGTGCAGTTACTCAAGTGGACGGAGTTCCAGAGGCCTGCCCGTCCCGTTTACCCGTGCACGCAGGTGAACAGGACCGGGGAAAGCAGTGGCTAGCGCATGAACAAAACAGAGAGGAACCAGCGAGGAAGCACATTGTGAGAGGATGAACAGGGTTCTCTCTGCCCGTCCCGTAGGTGAGATTATATTGTGCGTGAGGGAGTATCATTTAGGAGTAATTAAATCGAAATCAATCCAATTGAATTATGTAATTAACGGCGAAATCAATCCCTTGGAATTCATTCGCTCATCAATACAGAATTGATTAGCCGAAGTAACGTCGATTCAATTCTCGTCCGTTACAGAATTGATTAGTCGAATTAACGATGATTGATTTCTCGTCCGTTACAAAATAATGAGAGACAGAGAGAGCAGCAGCAGCCGCCGCTTGCCCACCTCGCCTCGGCGCACGCATGCACGTGTGGCAATCGTATCATCATCTCAACCAATCAACAGGGTCTCTAATAGCTCCTTTTTTAAGTTGAGATCTCACTATTTAAATTTCCAAGATGATATTAATCCCCATAGCATTAATTGTGGGCCAATAGAATTAATTGAGAATAAATTGGGCCTAGCACATTATTCCAACAATCCCTACCAAATTTAATGGCTCACAAAAATGCTCTCAAATCTGAACTTGTTTGTTATACCAATATTTCAGTAGAGACTGTTAAGTTAAACTTCCACCTAGAAAATGAGCTACACCAGACCAACTGAACTATGGACTATGCCTTGAATTGTCAGTTTTGTGCAGTCAGGCTTTACTCAAATCCTTGACTGGTACTAGGCCGCTGTTTAGAGTGTATAAGTCAAACTCTAGGCATTTCATGAGAATCTAGAGAGCACACAAATCTTATAGACTATGACTAGCAGTCGAACTCATATAGATGTGTTCCTTCTAAGATGTTTTGTAGACCAACATTTTTGCTTTAAGAAAAGCCACTCGGGACACATTAAGGTATATATCATCCTTCCATACACACAAGGAGAGAAGTACAGCCACTTTCAGGGTCTCTCCTCCCAGTAACCTAATAGTTTGTTTCTCCATCCTAATTCACGGGATCTGCAATCACAAAGGACGGGTTATCACTATTGTGCAACTCAAGTGGGTCTCAAACCCATCTCCCTCGATGCACTGTCTATCACATTGCGTGATAGTCCCTTAGTAAACTGATCTGCTAGAATTTTAGCTATCTGGACATAGTCCAAAGCTATAACTCCAGAGTTTTTCTGCTCTCTAATAGATTTGAGATTTCTTTTCACATGCCTGGATGACTTCATGTTCCCCTTCAAACTGTTCACCTTAATAATCACTGTTTGATTATCACAGTTCATCAGGATAGCTGGTACTGGTTTTTCAACCACTGGCAAATCCATTAGGAGTTCATGAAGACACTCGGCCTCAACTGTGACAGTATCTAATGCTATGAGTTTTGCTTCCATTGTTGACCTCGTTAAGATGGTTGTTGATGGTCGTTATCGATTAGTTTCGACCGTCAATATTTCCAAAATAAAGGAGAACTAGTGATGCTTACAATGCATATACATGTTAGAGTAATAATATTCCACTAATGTTTGTTTCACTAAACTTTTGCAGAGAATAACCATAAAGTGGAGGAGAATCGACATCATCTCAAACGATAAATCAATCGGACGATGTCGAGAATCAGACTTATGCATGAATGGGCCAAGAACTCAGAATTGACATGATGAATTGGGCCAAAATTCACAAGTCTACAAAGTGAAGCAATAGAGGAGGCCGCCAACCGAAGATGGGCCGGGATGGCCCAGCCCATGGTTCGGCCGAACCTGGTGGTTCGATGTTGGTATTTCTTAACGACATTACTAGAAATATAATTTCCAGCAATGGCGCAGAAATACTTATGGTATATTATGGTTACAAAATTCATCCGCAAGCGCACGGATATACCATTGTAGCATTTCACCCGAGAGTATTCCAAGGGTATCGTATTTATTTTATCCAGTGGGAAGATCATGTAGAGAGAACTTTGACTAATAATTTATATATTACTTGTGATAATCATATTCTAAACAGGGGTTAAGATAATCCAAAGGTAGAGTGACACACAAGCTTTAACTACTCATTCTCATAATATATTATCTAAGCTATGTGGAAAGAAAAGAGAAAGATAATCTATTCCTATACTTCTAATATACATAGTATACATACATTCTAGTTAACTGATATACTAGCTAATACCCTCTATCCGATGCCCTCCTGGTACTTCGAGAAGCCACCCTTGACTGCCGAGTTCCTTACGACAGCCCGTCATGACCATACAACTGGGGCTAAATACGGAGGAATACCCTCCCCAGGGAATTAACTTAGGATTATATACCGGCGTGGAGGAATACCCGTACTGAGCTGTCACCATCAGCGGCCCACCTCTCATCCGCAATATATAACCCTAAATAATGATATCCCATAATCTAGACACCACGTCTAAACTACCAGATACTACTCTAATATCATTGTCATGACATAGAGTAATTGCATAAGCAAATATTATACCCGCACCAAAGCATCTCCCAGATAAGCTAGCCGTATATTCAGTATAACAAGAACATAATGTAAAGTAGGCATTCATATACTCGGAAAGTATTTCAATACCATAAATGTATTTAGAAGAGTATTCTAATAAAAGTACAAAGCTTACAAAAGAGGAAAGGAAAGCTGCTAGAGCCATACCTGAACTCTTCCGAAGACTTCCAGACTCCTGATTTCTACCCTAATCCTATTCCACCAGCTAGATACTACTAAACTAAACTTGAGAGAAATGAGAGAGCTATTGCTTGAGGTGTGTGAGTGAAGTGAGAAGGTGAAGTCCTTTTATAGGCAGGTATGACGGTTGTAACCGCTGTGAAATGTCTGAAGTACCCCGCAATCACCATCAGGAGAAGATCTGGAGCGTCCCTGCCAAACCCCACATCCAACGTTGAAGAGGGAGGTTCGTCATGGTTCGGCCGAACCAGGGGCCGGCCTAACCTGGCCCAAAATCGGCAGGTGGCCTCTTCCGTTGCTTCACTTCGAAGACTTGTGAATTTTGGCCCAATTCATCATGTCAATTTTGAGTTCTTGGCCTATTCACACATAAGTCTGATTCTCGACATCGTCCAATTGATTTAGAGAGAATCCATTATATGCCACTGACTTTGTCACATGTCTATGATCTGCCACTGACTTTATCACGTTCTACAATATGCCATCGACTTTTGCTTAACTTCTACAATTTACCATCGCCGTCCGGTTAGTCTCCGTTAATACTGTACAAATTTGCCAAAATGACCAAAATACCCCTAGGACAAAAACATTCAAAATTTGGATAAAAATTCTGAAATATAAGATTTTAAGTTGTTGGCCAAATTTTGGATGTTTACAATCTTATGTTTATAATATGATATTTTGAATTTTTTATCCAAATTTTGGAAGTTTTTGTTTTAGGGGTATTTCGGTCATTTGGACAAAATTGTACAGTACTAACGGAGGCTAATCGGACGGCGATGGTAAATCGTAGAAGTTAAGCAAAAGTCGATGGTATATCGTAGAATGTGACAAAGTCGATGGTAAATCGTAGATGTGTGACAAAGTCAGTGGCATATAATGGATTCTCTCATTGATTTATCGTCCGAGTTGATGTCGATTCTCCTCCACTTTATTATCATTCTCTGCAAAAAGGTTAGTATACCTAATACTTGTGGAATGCTATTATTCTAACAAATATATGCATTGTAAGCATCACTAGTTCTCCTCTATTTTGGTAATATTGACGGTCGAAACTAATCGATAACGACCGTCAACATTCAGCCGAACCTATCCTGGCGCCGTTGGATGCAGGGTTCGGCGTGGACGTCCAGGATTGCATCCCAATGACGGTTGGAGGGCACTTCGGACAATTCCCCTTCCACAACCATCATAACTACCTCTATATAAGGACTTCACCTTCTCACTTCACTCACACACCTCAAGCAAGAACTCTCTCATATTCTCTCAAGTTTAGTTTAGTAGTATCAAGCTAGTGGAATATGAATAGAGTAGAAATCAGGAGTCCGGAAGTCTTCGGAAGAGTTCGGGTATGGCTCTAGTAGCTTTCCTTTCTTCTTTTGTAAGCTTTGTACTTTTATTAGAATATATTTATGGTATTAAAATACTTTCCGAGTATATGAATGCCTACTTTACATGTCGTAGGCTCTCCGGACCTTCCATTATAATTGAGAGATGAAGTGAATAATTCAAGTCATCAAACAAGAATAATGAAATATCCGATGCCTCGAGAGAGGAATATTGGAGATATTGCTGGTCCTTTAGCCTGCCAGTCAACTTTATCCTGAGATGTGCCCGTCAAACCATTCGAAGGCGGCGACCAGATGTGTTACACATTTAGGAGACTTGACAAAAATAGCTAAAGATCTACAACATCTCAAATATTCATAACTCATACTCATATGAATCTAGTTCCCAGGATGTGCACTAGATTCACACTTTCATCTTAAGCATGGACATACATAGCAAACACAAATAAAATGAAAGCGATTAAAATTACAACTAACTTAGAGATACATAGGCCGACCGGCCAAATAAATATATAGAACAACGGAAGCTTGTCTACCCAATCCACAAGCACACCGACTAGGGGTTTACCCCCATTAAGTTCAAATCCTAGAAGAAGCAGTCGATCACCCACATCACTCAAAGACTAAATCTAAAACCTGAAAGCAAAAGGTTAATTCAACAGCAAGAGTCAGTACATTATTAGAAATAATGTACTGGCAAGCACCAAGACAAGCCTAACACCCTACTTGCAAGGCATATAATCAAGGAAGGCATAATATGGTTCTTTTTAGCATAAAGCAAGTTTTATTTGCATAAAACATTTCCAAATCAGGTTTACTTTCAAATAAATTTCAGCAAGCTAGTACTTGACATATTGGGCATCAAAGTAGGCATTAATCATATATAAATATGCACCTCATTGCCTTCCATGGCAGCAAGCAGATCATTCTCAAATCTCATCACAATTTGAAGGTAAATTTCAGCATTTAGAAGAATAAACACAAGTCTATACTCAATACATATCCACACGCCGCTCATGTCCGCGAGCACGGCTAATCGATTAGTTTTAACTCTGCAGAGTTTGTACACTTTACCCACATGATGCGAAATAATAATCATGCAAGAGCATGGCACGCGATACATAAGTACCCGATTTATTACCAGCAACAAAGCTTTTCCAAAATTCATAATTTAGCCTTACACCAGCACGATACGTGTTACTCCATCCTAAGCCATACACGTTATATGACCTAAAACCGTTAAGTGGCGGGCCCACGCCTTAAACTTAACGCCGTGGTGGCGGACACAACGGGAACCCACCCACATGGCACAATACCGTTGTATTGGACAGACTTACTCACTTAAACTACCACGTCAGGGTAAATAGGAAGTTCCTCTGAGTTATCCGAACTCATACACACTGGCCTACCAGAATGTAAGGCTAAACCATAAATAATTTACTTAGCTTGAGCTATCCCATACTAGCACATGTGGTTGTACTGTATACGAAATGAACTGACATTGAGTGAAGTCCTTAGGTCGGTTTGGGTGCACTCTCCCACTATCGGTACACAACTAATCACCATATGTGCACCACTTGAGACCCAAACCTAAAATCCATGTTTTTCATCATTTTATTTATGAAAATCACAAGTATTAAAGTTCTGTCCAGATTATTTTAAAATCAATTTTTCATATTTGTAATGAGCCCATAATGACAAGGAAGACCATTCTAAGCATGGCTAAGCATTATAGTAACCTAGTGACTCCAAAATTCATATATATAAAGTGGTATAGTCATATTGTTCCTAAGGTTAGGAATGATGGATATGGATATATGTGGGGTTAAGGTGATAATGCAAATAATAGGAGTTTGTCTAACAAGTTTAACACAATTTTAATTTGTTAGTGTACAATCGACATGCAGGATTTGCAAACATTTTCAATAACCTCCAAAAAATAGGTTCAAAGTGATCAAAGAGAGAGAGGTGGGACTTGCCTTGAATCAGGAAAATGTCAGCACCTAAATCACTTTTTCACCGTTTAAGCAATCATCTATACAAAGTACACGTTATGCAATTAAACACCGAAATATGCGAAAAATCCAAAATGCTCTAAAATGCATGATTTGTGCACAGTGAATAGGTACTGGTCTAAAATGAATTTAGGTGAAAGAATTTCTATTTTATCTCATTTCATTTGAGAATTATGAGCGGTATAGTGTACGATTTACTTAGGTACTATTGTGAAATGCTGTTGTAAGGTGATTCTTATTAAGTTTATGTTTGCTGGGGTGAAGATATGTGCTTTCTAAGACTAACACATTTGGTTTCATAATTTTTAGAGTTAATATGAATTCTTTATGTATTTTTCAAGTTATAACGTGTTATAGGTGTATAGTATTCTATAGGTTCATGGCTAAAGAGGTTTAGGTCCAGAACTTGCCTCATCTAGCTAGTGATGTATAAAATGAGTACTTTAGTTAACTAATCTCACCTTAGCTCATAAGCTTATGGTCTTTATTATCATGGTTCATATTTTTTTTTAAACTAGGGAAGCTCTAGTCCATGCTAGCAATTTATTATATCAACCTAGAAATTATTATATGAGTTAAGTGCCTTAAGTTTTGGTGGATGGGGGTGAAACTATGACCTCTCTAGTCTAACAAGTTTTATTTTAGTTTATTCATAGCTAGAATGCATTTTAACTACCTCACACATATATTTTGCTTAACCATTACTAGGTGATTAACTCCTAGGTTATCTATTTAAAGATTAGAACTATAACCTGTTCAAAAGGTGCCATATTTTATTTTACTATGTTTAAGCTCACTATTTGCTGGTTCTATGGAAATTTGGTTCATTTCATTTGGACTAAAGATGATTTTTCTACAATTTTTACAAATTAAAGGCTACTCTATATTGGTTATTAATTACATAAATATTTAGAGGCTTTTATCATACAGTAAGTATATAATTTTATTTTATAACTTGGAAGTATATGTTTTGGTGATTCTACAGAACTTGGGTTTACTCAAAATGGTTCTAAGATGAATTTTATGTGAATTTCTAAAGTTCAGCTTACCTAAAACTAGTCATTTTAAAGATAATAGTTTCAGAGGCATTTGATCTAAAGTATATATATATGTTTTATTTTACTTTGTTTTTGGAGAACATGTTGGTGGATCCATAGAAACTAAGTTTGCTCTAAAATGAGTTGTTTTCAATTTGTTATATATTTTACATGTTTACATGTTTTTCTGTTGAAAATATAAAGCTTTAGGCATTTCATTTAGATTTTGCCAGAATTTAAATAGATTGGGTCCACAGGTCGGTCTCAGGCCAATATGCAAAAAGGCCCCTAGAATTTCAGGAAATCAACCCACAGTCCTGTGACTGTTCTGTGTGTGAGGTAGGTTTTACAAACTAGTACCTAGAGTTTTGATTCTTCTCAACAGAGGTCCTTGGTTTGAGCAGACACAGAGCTAGCCATGGCCGAGCTCGTTCTCGAGCTCGCCGGTGGCAAACGGCGGCAGATCTCGGTGTGCAACATAAGGAGAAAATGTAAATGGGTTCAAGGCGAGGCTATAGGTGGTATTCTTGCAAGCATTGGTCATCGGAATTAATGGCGACGGCGGAGCGAGCGGCGGTGGTTCTCGGGTGACGGTGCATGTGGAGCTAGAGCATTCATCTAGATGTTTAGCTACATGCATGTGCCTCTATGGGATCCTAGGATGCTTACCGAGCGTCCAATGAAACTTGGCGAGGTCCAGATAGCGATGACCACGAGCAGAACGACTCGGAGACGGCGGGGAGCCTCGGGCGATGACGACGCCGGCTTGATATGGCTGATGATCTACCATGCATGTATACACACGGTGTTGAATAGGTCTCAGGAAAGCTTCATGCCCGAGGAATTGAACTGTGACTCACCGGAGAGGGAGAAATCGAAGGTGGAGCTTGACAGCCGGAATTGGGGAAGACAATGCCGATCTCCAAGCTCGCTGCACCACTGGCAGGGGTTCATGAGGGATTTAAGAGAGGACACCGAGGAGATGTTGATGGTGCGGTGGCTCGGCTCGGCTTGCTCTGGTTCGACGGCAACGAAGACGATGTCCCAATGGCGGCGCCCAGTCCGCGCTCCAGAGCATCGTCGGCAAGGGTTTGCATTCCCACCAAACCACTGCATGAAATGGGATGAAACTTAGAGGGATGGAATCAGCGTGGAGAGGCGATAATGGAACGCAAGAGAAGAGGAAACGACCACGGCACAAAGGCGATGGCGACGGCCGTCGTCTTCACGGCCAGCGGCAAGGTCGAGATGGAAAAGAAAAGCCGGAGCTCTCCCCCTCGGTTTGCTCGGCTCAGGAGTGGTAATGGGGAGGAGGCGATGCAGCTGGGTGGAGGTGAAGCCTCGGTTCGGCGCTGCCACGTCGAGGCTGTTAGTGATATGCCCTAGAGGCAATCATAGAGATGATTGTATCACATACTATGTTTACATATTTATCCGACATTGTTCCTTGAAATAGATAACTCCTTATTGGTTAATGAATATGTGATTCTTTCATGAGACTCTTTATGTTGTTTGTTACTATTTCTAAAGGATCCCTGATCAAATATCATATGTGGAACAAATATGTTTATATGATCAGCACATGTATTAATTGATGATCATGTCTCATGGATCATGGTATAGAGATATCAAATTAATAATGTGGACACATGTTGGTGAACATGTTGTTGGATAGACCCAACATGAGACACTGCAAGAGCCATATGTGTTGTGTCATCAGTGATCTCATTGAGTGTTGGTGTTGAATCCTTAGACCTGAGATTATCATGGTTCTCAACATATGTAGTAGCTTACTAAGGGACTGCTAAACGCTACTCCGTAATTGGGTAGTTATAAAAGTAGTTTTCGGATATGCTATGAAACATGTAGTGGGATATGAATAATCAAGATGAGATTTGCCTCTCCTGTGGAGAGATATCTCTGGGCCCCTCGATGTTGTAGATTATGAAAGTGCATGGCCATGTCAAAGGTGATTGAGGAGTCAATCACAAGTTTTGTAATCTATTAACAGGTTCGAGTGAATGATTGAGCTATTAGAGGATGGCACATATCTAGCCTTGAGCTTAATCGATATCGTGAGGCAAAGGGGTTCATACAAGTATACACTAGAGGTTTAGCCGATATGATCTTTATGTATGCCCGGTGGGTCAATACGTTCTGCTAGGGGGCGCTGTTGACGCGTGGACCGAAAAGGAGTTTTCGGGATACAGCCGAGTATATATGAACCTATAGGGTCGCACGCTTAATGGGCCGGAATAAGGGGATTGGATAGAGATCCAATATGAGCTTAATTCGGATAGGAGTCCTACGGACCTTGGAGGCCCGAGTGATGGATCCTATATATTCGTGTGGGGTGTGACCGGCGGAGGCATTGCATCATGTGAGAAACCCTAGCCGTCACTTCCCTCCCCGAGCAAAACCCTAGTCGCGCGCGGGTGCTAGCACATCTGCGTGTGGCGTTCCGTCCCTGTACGTGTGGATACCGGTAGAGGCACCGCTGGTTTGCGGTGCTGATCGGCGTGGGAGTACGGCGAGGATGTCACGACCGGAAATAACCCAACGGGCGTTCCTTACGTGCGTGTATTATTCCTTGTCCCAGGAGGCAAGGTACACCAAAAGTTGATACATTTCAGAGTTTATCAAGCGGAAGCGTAAATAGTTAATTTATTACATGGGCGGCGAAGGCCCAGCACACCAGAAGACAAACGAAAAACAGCGGAAGACTAGGGCGACGACCACAGGCGTTTGACGGCAGGCACGAGCTAAACACCAAAGCCTTCATCATCTAGGGGCTCCTCTTCTGGGTTTGGGAAAAATTGAGCAAGACTGAGTACAACCACCGTACTCAACAAGACACACCCATAAGTGCAGGATAAATGCAAGGGAGTACAAGGGGGTTATAATATAAAGGGTTAGGGTTTGCAGTAAACAACATTAAAAGACACTTAGTTGCTAAAAGCTATTTTGTAAACACGATTCTAGAGCTATACAATATTATTAATCAAGGCCGTGAACCCACACGAACCTACCCTAACCTAAGGCCTACGATGATTCAGACCGAACTGGCAACCCGACCCTGGGTCCCAGCTCGTCCCAAGCCAACCCAGGCCAACCATTCCATATTTTAGTTGTTAAGCAGGTTTTAAGAATTAAAACACTAACTTGGGTACATTGCTCGGCTTGCCCATAACCGAGGGCGCGACTATTCGAATAGGTTATACTCTGATCAGAGGTGTACATCTTTACCCACAAGACACATCTTCCTCACGTGTAACACGTGCCACATACCACCACGGCATACGGACGGAAGACATGACATAGTTTCCAACCCATCCTAGCCATAGACAAGAGTACCGACCCAACCCCACCTACGGCCGGAACCCCCGGGACAGGTAGGCAGGACTGAGCCCCTAGCAGCAGGACACCGGCCCTGTGCCATGACATCTCGACTACTGGGCCACAGCTCGTGTAGCCTTCATTTGCCCTAGAGATGTCCATCGACCCCCGACTTCGTCCAGCTCCATCCGTGTACTTTTGTTTATAACCAGACTGAGCCACAAACTAAGCCTTACCCACTAGACATGTGGAAGTACGGTAGTGCTTTGCAACAGAGGCCCGAAGACCGGTCCTTATATGGCCGAGGTGCTACTATCAAAACCATGCACCTCGAGCCCAGCCTAAAACTATTTTGAGGGTTTTGAATAGAGGGGGAGGTGTGAATCCAATTCCACAATAATCCAACCATTCCATAATGTCCAGGTGATGAGAATATTCCCAAAGTCTAGAGTTGTAAAACCACCTAATATTACCTAATTAAGCGGCGAAGCATCTACCTAAACTCATACTAGTGGTACCTTGAGTAGAGTGTCCATTAGTTGGGGTTTTGTTTATTTTAGGATGAACAAGGTAATAATAACAATAACAATAATAAGGTCATAACAAAGGTAAATAGGCATGGCTAGATAAAACAGTGATAACGCGGGAATTTAAATAAAGCGATAATGCAATAATTTAAATCAGAATAATTTTATAAACTGGGATTCAATATGTTCAAGGATGATGTGACTTGCCTTGCTCGCTTTCCCAAACGTCGGCTTCAACCTCCACGAAGAGCGGATCTTCCGAAGCTGCAGCGTCTATACGACCAACGGAAAATAAAAGGGCTTTTACTCTAATAAACTCCATATAACAAGCAGGAACAAAGCACAAAAATGGGTTCTTGACTTCTTAAGGAAAAATTAGAGACTTGAACGGTCCAATTCCGAGTTCAAATGGCCAAGTTATGACCATTTGAAATTTATATGCTCTTTAAATGAATATTTGCGAATTTCTCCATTTAAATTTTAATTTAAAAAGGGTTTATTGCGTCAGCCGAGGGGAGGGGCCGCGCGGACCGGGTCCACGGGAGTGGGGCCCACGGGGCAGCCTCACGGTCCACGGTGGACCGGGCGCACCCGGGCTCGCACCGGCCGGCGCCGTGGGCCCCACGCGTCAGCCGCACCCAAGGGCGCGGGCGGCTGACAGCCGGGCCCCACGCGGCGGCCACTCGGCGCGCCCGAAGGTAGCCACTCGGCGCGGCCGGCGGGAGGCGGCGCCCGCGCCCCTATGGTCGCCGGCGGCGGCCATAGGCACGGCGGAGCGGCGGCCGAGAGAGGGGAAGGGAAGGGGGAAAAGAGGCGGCGGTCCACGGCTCACCCTAGGTCGACGGCGACGACGAAAAAGACGGCCGGAGCGGAGGAAGGTGGCGGCGCGGCTCAGGTCGACGGGTCGACGGCGTTCCGGCGAAGCCGGAGGAGGCGACGCCGGGGCGGGAGACAGTCCCGGCGAGCGGAGAAGGCCGGCCGGAGGTCGTCGGCGACGGAGGAGAGAGAGGGCGACGGCGCGAGCTCGAATCCGGCGAGGAGGAAGGGCGGCGAGAGGCGGAAACGGACGGAGGAGGTGCGGGGAGGGTTTAAATAGGGTTGGAAGGGGGAGAGGGCGGCCGGAGGGGAAGGAAACCGGCGCGGTGTTCTCGGGCTCCATCAATGGCGCCGGCGGGATTAGGGGCGGGTTTCCAAACGAATCCAAGGGAGAGAGGGAGGGAAAAATAGGGGGAAATGGAGAGGGGAACACGGGGAGTATTTCCCCCCACTTTATTGCACACGGGGACGGCGGGATGCGGCGGATTTGGCGGCGGCGGCGGCGCTTGGCACGGGTGGAACGGCGGGAGCGGCGGGAGGACGGGGATGACGGGTGGGCCCCACCCGTCAGCGAGGGTGGCGGGCGGGCCCGCCCGTCAGCGGCGCGCGCGCGGGGAGAGGCCGGATGGGCCGCAGGGAGAGAAGAGAGAGGGGGAGGGAAATGGGCCGAGCCGGCCCAAGAGAGGGAGGGGACTTTTTTTTTAGGGTTTTTCTTTTTATAAAACCTTTTTAACTTTGTTTATTTCTTCTTAATTATTATTTGTGCTCTGAAAATTCCACTAAAATTTATTTACACATTTTAGGCTTTTATGAAATATACAAAAATCCTCTAAGCCTTGTTTGACTTTTACTTTGCACATTTTAATTTTTGGAGGCTTTCACCCGGATTTTAATTATTCTAGGCATAATTTAAAGGATATATTTTAGGGTCGTTTTGGGACATGACAGAGGAGAACGCACGAGGCGGAGAAGGTCGAGCTGGTGCGATCGACTACTTCCTCTACATCGACGCGCGCTACTTCGCGAGAGTTCCTTCGACTTCTCAGTGTCTTCTTCCGCTGCGCAGCGCGTCGAGTGGTAACGATCTATGATCTAATACTTGCATGGTTCCTGGTTTACGCGATAGAAAATTTTGATTTATGCTATCGTAGCCTACACGTATCCCAACAGAGGCCACGTGTCGACGCCGTCCAGTGCCGGTCGGCGCTCTCGGTCTCTCTCTCTCTCTCTCGGCTGTCACTTTGTTGGATGGAGGAGATGCACAGGGTGTGGTTCAAGCCAAAGAGGCTGCTATGTGGGCCCAGGTCGATGTATTCTAGGTGGGAGTCTGAGGGATGGGTAAGAAACTGGGTGTTGATTGATTTTTGGACGATTTTCAGATTAATTCTCTCTCTCCAACTTTACATCTCAATATTTTAATGTGTGAAGCATAGTGTGGGTTTTTCTGAAGGTAGATGAATGTAGCTAGTTTCCATTTTCTTTGGTTGCACTTAAAAATTATCGATGGATTGCTCACAGAAAATAGGGGAAGATGGGCTCGATAGAACTTTGTTTGAATTTTTAGAAGACCTAAACAGAGGATAAATTCTGGAAAAATAATATATATTCATGATAATTAACCTAGTATTTTAATAAATTATTTCCCATATACACTTCCATGCAGTTAAATGCACATTTTAGTTATGTATGGTTTTAGCTGATTAAGAACTATATTTA